CGCTATTGCTGCCCACAGTTCAGTGTGGACTAACTGCATAGCAGTTGGAAAACAACATTATTCCTTTGGCTTGTCTCAATACTTTGATAATGTGCTCCAGAAACCAGGATTTTCTTAAGTTCTCAGCAGCCACAAACCTGAAGAAATGATCTGGATGCCATGTGGGCTCAGAATTCCATCCCAGCTGACTTCAATACAAAAATAGGTCCAGCGTCCTTGGTCCACAAAGGACGAAATTCAGCGAAAGCATCTGCTGAGCAACAAGAAACATTTTCCAGCGCAACAATGACTCTGTGTTGTCTAATACGAATAGAACTTCACAGACAAATACAGCACACCGCTCCGGTTAGGTTATTGATTAAGACTAACATGACTGTACTTACTCAGTTTTCTGAGGTATGTATTACCAGTCCAAATGGTGTAGTCTTTTTCCAGGTACTGATTTTGTTCCTTACGTGTTACAAGTGAAATTTCCAGATAGTGCAATCGACTCCCTTTCTGCTTATCTTGGCATAAGAAATATCTGTGGTTGATGTTGCACCTCAGCTCTTAAAATAGCTCTTAAGTCTCACTCTGCTTCCAGCTGCTTGCAGGAGAAATGTTGGAGAGAAGGCTTACTCCAAATAAGAATCTGGCAGTACCAACTCCAGTTGGTATCTCCAAAGGAGATACTTTCCAAACCTAGGGCCCTACAAAACTTGGGTACTTTGACTCCAGCTTCTTTTACTCTGGACTTCTAATGCTGTGACTGGATCATAAAAACACACTGTTCTAGGGCAACCCCCAAGTCTAGCAGCTCTGTTAACAACTGGAACTGAAACCTTTTTACTATAAGCTACATCCATGTCCTTACACATATCTGAGGTGGATGCTCAGCCTGTATAGCAACATCCCATCTTCCAAGAGCTGCCCCTATATCTCAGCATTTTCTCCTGGTCAGAACAGACAACATGGATACTTTCTACCCTTCCAAAGAAAATGCAGAGTTTGGCTTTAAGGTAGTACCTTTTGGTGCTGTTAATTCTGACCCTTGTCTCTTATCCCACCATCTGGTTAGGAACTTCTTTGTATGGTAGGTTTTAACAATTTCTCTCTCCCCAGGTGGCATGATACACAAGTTAAAATGTTGTCTTAGCTTTGCAACACCTTACATATAGCACTTGTTAAAAGAATTGACTTGTATGATACATGTCATAATCTTATGAAGTACATGCTCTTTAGGGTGTCATTACCTCACACGACAGAGGCTACATATGACATTAATACTATGATGACGGTTGCAGTAATAGATTGCTTGAACTGCCCAGTCTCTACCCCTTCCTCATTGTTTGCTGCCAGTTGTAGAGGTACCATGTGTTACAGCTTGTACAAAATCTATACGAACAGATCGCTAAATAT